TTAAAGTCTAGTTTTTCTCAATATACCTTTGATGGTTTTTAAATTGCTTCATATCTGGTCAAGTTGAGATTTTTAAGAACTTCATTTTTATTTTTTAATAAAAGTTTACAACTTGGAAAAAAAAAAAAAAGAATGGTCTCTAGCCCAGTTACTAATACTGTTCCCTTCTGAAACCTCTTGAGCTGGGTTTCCGTGGACCACATTGATCTCAGCACTATTTGTCCTTCAAGCTCCAATTGGGATGGCCCTTTGAGCCCCACTTTCTTACAAAGTTCAACCATTTTAGTCCAAAGTTCCACAGTTTTCCACATTCCTCAAAAAACAAAAAACCACCATGGCCAATCCTTTCACAACAGCCTACTCCATAGTACCAAAAGTCTTAGTTACTTTTCTGTTGTGACATAACACCATGATCAAGGCATCTTATAAAAGAAAGTGTTTAACCCACCCATAGCCAGTAGGCTGAAGGCAACTGAGCCATTCCCTTCCTTAATGAGCCTTACTGCAAATTGGAGTCCTTGTAAGGGTGGTTTAGGACTTCTGTTGGTCTTTTCTGTGTCGAACACACAGATTGCAAGCCCAGCACCACTTTGAGATCTTTGGCAACAGTTAACTCTGCAGCTCACACCGATTGAGCCTGTATAATAATGAGTATTCGGAGATGGGTAATACCTGGGGGGTGCTCACCAACCTAAGAGTGCCTGTGTGGCCTGGGCAGGCATCTCCATGATGGGTAAGGTGACCTGCTGACGTCCTACGCAACCTAAGTCAGAAGCTCATTTTTTACTAAAAGGGGGGCCTGTAGGGTCCTGGCCCCCGTTTTGGGTAACTGTTGCCTTGCTTGCTGACCTTGACCTTGATATCCTCCCTATGCTATTTCCCTGCCAGGTTCCACCCTCCTAAATGCTTAAGGAAAGAGCCTTGTCTGTGTATCCTGCATAATGGTTATTAACAGCTTAGATGCACAATTGTAAGACATCGGTAGCAAACTTCTACCCTCCAGGAGTTCTCCCGTTGTGCTGTAAGCCTGTATTTAAGACCTTTTCCCTCCTTCAATAAATGACATTGGGGGGGGGGGAGCAGAGAAAGTGTTTAATTTGGAGTTTACAGTTCCAGAGAGTTAGGGTTTATGATGATCATGGCAGCAAGCAGGCAGGCATAGTGCTGGAGCAGTAGCTGACAGCTAACATCTTGATCCAGAAGGACTTAGCAGACAGCAAACTGTAGCTGGAGAGTTTCTCCACATCCCACCAACACCCCCCTCCCCCTGCAGTCCCACAGCCCACTTATAAAATAATCACTCAGATGCTTATATTACTTATAAACTGGCCATGGCAGGCTTCTTGTTATCTAGTTCTTATATCTTAACCCATTTCTATAAATCTATACGTGGCTCGTGGCTTACCGATATCTTACATGTTGGCAGCTGGCGACTCCTGACTCTGCCTTCTTTCACCCAGCATTCTCCTCTCTCCTTGTCTCACCTACACTATTTCTTCCTGCCTGGCTACTGGCCAATCAGCATTTTATTTATCAATCAATCATAGCAACAGCAAACTGGGAATGACATGCAGTTTTGAAACCTCAAAGCCTGCTCCCAGTGACACACCTCCAATAAAACCATACCTACCTCTCAAGCAGTTCCACCAACTGGAGCTAAACATTCAAATATGTGAGCCTATGAGGGCCATTCTCATTCTACTACTATATTATAAATATGTTTTGTTTGTTCTGTTTATGGGAACTACTAT